CTCAAAATGCTCTTAGGCGAATTTAAAAAAGAGTGTTTCAAACTCAAAATATTTCAATTTTCAACATTTAACCATGCAAAAGTAGGATATTAGACTCAACAAGTTCGTTATAATCTCACTTTATTCCACCAAATAAACATTCGAAATATATGTCAATCACAATAGGCCTGGTCTAACTCCAAAAATCATAATATTTAAATATAATCGTAAATCCTTTTCCAAAAACCATAACTAAGTTAGGGAAAAACTAGGGTTTTAAACCCATCCCATAAATTCTACGATTTTCAATTTAAAATCCAATAATAATCCTCACATAAGCATTATAATCAATTTTCTAGAAGAAATTGGCAAAACCTAACACTTTTAGGGCAAACCCATTTGACAATAATATTGAAAAAGATATCAATAGAATGGGTCTAGGGATTAGAACATATCAATCTATCTAAGTTTAATCCCACTTACCTTGAGAAAAGAGACCAAAATGAAGAGTTTCGGAGAAAAAGGATTCCAAGGAAGAAGAGGGGCTGGCGGCGGCGGCGGCGTGTTGTTCCTGCTGCTGTTCTTTCTTTTTATTTTATTTTATTAAATATAAAATACTTAGGCCTTTATTAATTATTTTACTCTACTGGGGCCCAAATTCATTTTTTTTACTTCTAATTTAAACCCAATTTTTTAATTTATTACACTAAAAACCCAAAATAAATTAAGTCCAAAATAAATTAAGCCCAAAATAAATTAGGCCCAAAATAAAATTTGTCCGACTCCGGCAAACTTCCGGCGATTATTTTACGGGATATTACACCGTGGATAAATGGAGTATTGGTGACGTACTTACTTGACACGGGGGCCGATGGCAATTACATGAGTGAGCATATAGCCCGTAAGATTGGCCTACAATGTGCACCATTTGGAGATTGGTTCAAGAGAATCAATGGCGGGTGGACTTCTATATCTGGAGTAGCCAATGTTGTACCCATCAAGCTCGGAGATTGGAAAGGTATTGAATGCTTTAACATAGTTTCTATGGATGAGGTTTATGGAACCCTTCAAGTCTATAATGGTGCCGCACGAACAAAAGTTAACAATCATTGAGGGCAGAACACCGTGTGATATGACGGTGTACCTAGAGAGAGAGCTCAGTCAAAATAACTCGAAAATGATAAAAAGAAAAGAGAACTAACTGACCTTCGCTGCCATCTTGAGCAATGAGGACGTCCTTGAGGATGGTGAGAAGAAAGTTGAGGATTCACCTAAGGACCTAGGGCCAGTCCTTAAGGAGTTCTATAAAAATGAATTTGATGCTACATGATGGTAAATGAATTCGATTGGGTTGTTTTACTTGATGTTACACAATTTTATTTCAACTCCTAAAAAAAATGAGAGCATGATAAATAGTATGTTTCAGATAGTGCTCGACTTTCAGCCAACGACACCGAAGGACTTGGTTGGAGCATACAAAGGACCGAGCCCTCTAGCCTTTTAGATTGCCAAAAGTTGGAAGATTGTGCAGAAGCCGGCCGGCTTTACTTGGAAAAGTCTCAAAAAAAATGAAGAAGTGGGTAGACTAAAAAAAAGTGTTTCGGGAACTCAATGAAGGTGATATGATACTCGTGAACTTGTACCAACATAATCGTGTCTGGGCCTGCACAAAGCCTTGATGTGTAGGTATAAAGGCCCATTCCCGGTGCTGAAGAAGACTGGTGAGGTGGCGTACAAAGTAGAATTACTCGTGGCACGTTCTCAGTTCACCCCATGTTCCATATCAGTCTCTTGAAGTAGTATCATAGTGACACTCAAAACCCAAGTCAAAATAAGTCTACAAGAGCGCCCATGGCATTCGGACATCCTACGAAAAGTTGGTTGAGGAAATCTTGGCTGATAGGGTGACCCTCCACAAGAACCAACCATTATCAACAAAATACTAGGTTAGATGGCATGATTACCCGAATCCGAGATGAGTTGTGAGGCGGCCAAAGATTATGGCAACTCGAGGATCTTGTTTGAGACTTCAAGGCGCTTAGAACAATACCTATTTCCAATGGGGGAGAATGTCCTAGATCGAAAACTTAGTTAAGGAATACCAAGAAACGCCCTGCAACGTGTCGATTTGGAGTGGCTAGAAGAAATTTCTCGAAAAATTCCAGAAATTTTTGGAATGCTAAAAACCATTCTAGGATTACCGAAATTGCCCCTTGCTCCTGTATCTTGTATAAATAGAGTTTATCCAAGTGTGAATATACATTGACCTGTGTTAGGCACGGTCTGTTAGAGTGTCTATATATAGGGGAGGCATCCCTTAGTTATAACTCACTTCACTTTACAAAAAGCAATACAAACTCTACTTTTGCCGGATGTATTTTTACGGTATTCATTTTTTCTATCTTAGCATGCTTTTGAGGCTGTGTCCGAGATTGTACTAGCAAGCCTCTCATGAGCGCGGATGAGTTGCTAGGCTGATGGAAAAATGTTTGTGGAAGAGTCATCTGACCCATTACACTAGGAAACCTTACTCTTTGCCTTTGAATAATATTTGATAGGAATTTGTCTCAATCGCCAGAGACATTTCAGCTTGAGACAGCCGAAGAAGCACTGTGCAAGATCACTTCAATAGTCCAACAAGTAAGGAGTCATTCGTATTGATTCAATTACTTTGGTATTATAGGTTCCTTCTAATACTTGCATTTGTTAGATTTTTAGGTATCCTCTGCCATATTGGGAGTAGAGCGGTCAATGATCGCTCATACCAAAAGGGCTGAAATACCAATTCTGAGTGTGAAGAAATTGTCATTTCTAGAGGTAACTTCTACCTCAACTACTTCAAATGCTTCCCAACAATAAATTGTTGAAGCGGGTGGCTGATTAGAAAAAGACCCGAAAACATTAAGTTTTTGTGATCACTCCTAATTTTGTTAAGTATAACCTTTGGCGACTAACTTTGGTGATGGCTGCAGAAATCAAACACAATGGCTATAAAGTCACGTAAAGCTGAGATAAGTATCCATGTGACCGATGTTGCCCGGGCCGATAAAAAAGTTGAAACTTTTAAGGGTTTTAATACTACAAAAAATAGCATTTTTGTAACAAAAATTAGGGACATAAATTATTTCCATCCTTATTAGCGATGGAAACAGGGATAAAATCAGAGAAAACGTCATTTATTATCAATTTGCGACCGAATAAATTCCTTCTGTATTAGAGACAAACATTTTGTTAAAATATTACCTTTGGCTACTAACTTTGGTGGTGGCTGCATAAATCAAACACAAAGGCTATATCGACATGCAAAGTTGAGATAAGTATCCTCGTGGCCGATGTTCTCCGAGCCGATAGAAAAAGTTAAAACTTTCAAGGGTTCTAGTACTACAAATAATAGCATTTTCTAATGGAAAATAAGGACATAAATTATTTCCGTCCTTATTAGCAACATAAACAGGGATGAAATCAGAAAAAAAACATCCTTTATTATCAATTTGCGACCGAATAAATTCCGTCTGTACTAGAGACAAAAATTAAGGACAAAAATATATTATGTCACAGATAGGAATGAAAAATTGAAGATAAAATACCATTTCTTTACTAATTAGTGACATAATAGAACACCAAAAAAACCTTTCACACCTTTCATATGCTCATGGGACCGGAGAAGGCGACGGCGGACAGCAGGGAGTGGACGGTGACTACGACGGCGGCTTGTGGATGGCGTCAGCATCGTGAGAGGTGCAGCATGGTTTTATTTTTTTTTAAAAAAAAATTTGGTTGCCGCCGGCTGCGAGCCGCGGCGACCGTCGTTGCTGGCCGCGGTGGAATACGCCCACCGACCAGTGACGGCGATTTCCGGGAATTGCGGCAGCAGTTTGCCCTCCCCGTAAGTGACATAAAGTATACACAAAATAATGCACCTTGTGAACATAACATTTTTTAATGTATGGTTAGTACTAAGCTCATATCCCGGAAGCTATAAATATGTATATGTTGTTACACAATTACATTCTAATATCAATAAAGTTTATTTCAACCTATTCTTTTTGCAAGGGATTAAGGTAGATAAGTTGCACGTTTAATTTTTAGTGATAGTTCTTTAGATTAAAATGGATTAGATGATTAATGGGCTAAAAAATTTGTTATCCATTGTATTATGATATGCAGCACACACATAGGGTGATGATACTTATGACTTTTTTGGCGTGGATAGATGATTAATGAGCTATAAAATTTGGTAACCAAATGTGAGCTTTATTACAAGGTACCATATATTTATGTATCAATACCAATCAATTTTCATTCTATCATAACCGTCTCCGACTATTTCATTTGTCAGAAAAATATTTTTTTTCTTTTGGTTTCCATGACACAACATTAGTTCTAAATCTTCAAGCCATCAATTTTTTTTTTTTTTACCCTCAACGTTTCAGGTCACTTGTCATACATGGTTCTTTTCTTGTTTGTGATTCGGTAACGTTTGAGCACACAATTCCATGGCGAATAGGGTATTATATATAGATTATATACTTTTTAATAGTTAAATTTTAAATATCTGATATCAGACTGTATATCATTTCATATCCCATATTTGACTCGATTATTTAATCAGGTATTTAAAACTTAAAAAATATCTATTATATAAAACAACTCATTACTATAATCTAATTATCTTGGACTCAACCGAGTCATGTTGCACTAGAACGCCATCTTAGATTGATATGATATTTTTAAATGAAAACTAAATAATAATACTTCCTCCGTCCATTGAGAGATTGTCATTTTTCATTTTCGTCCGTCCCAAAACAAGGTTACCATTTTCTAATTTAGTAATTGTGCTGTCTACCTAATATAATAAATACTCTTCCAACTTACAATATATTACACACATATCATTACTTTTATATTACACAATACTAATAGGGGTATTTTTATTTTTTTCACTACAACCTATTATAATATTAATATTAAAAAATCTACGTGCAAAAAGTAAATGACAATCTTGTACTGGGACGAGGGAGTAATAATAATAATAATAATAATAAAGAGCAAACCATTTAATACAACAAATGAACTCGTTCTTCAAACTATACAATAAGATGAATATCAACAGGGGCAACCACATAATTGAATACACACAAGAATATTACTAAAAATACATGCATAATGTATAGATGATATATATCTTATTCATTTGAATTAATCCCTCATCAATCTCATCCGATGGTAACTGTTGTTATGTAGTAAGGATCGCCGGCAGGACACCCAAAGAGCCGACCACTTTAGCCTTAGTGTCTGGGAAATTCTCGGTCCCCGGCAGCTCTGTCACTGTCCCATCCGACGCCACCCCGATTGGATAGCTAAGCAAATGCCCCGGCAAGTCCCTTTCTACAACATCCCGCGTGTACAAATCCCAATTCGTTTCGGCTATCTTGTTTACCTTCTGAATGCACTTCACGTTCTCCGGGTGACAGAAGGTGTCATCGAGCATGCCCATGTGCTCGTACCACAATGACATCCGGAATCCGTGGACTTGTCCTCTCGCCGGCTGTCGGCACGACAGATGGTGTGGTTGGTACGCGCCCATTGCGATCTCTGAGTCGCGCGCACCGTCCATGGATCGCTGGTTGATGTTCGCGGATCCTATGATTATGTATTCGTCATCCACTGCGTAAAAGGGGGAAAGAAAGTTATAATTTTAGTAACATATTTGTGTTGAATTGTTATATCGAACAATTTTTTTTTACACTTTCGAAATTTAGGACATTATGTGTACTCCGGGCATTATTTTTGCCTTCCGACGTCGGAAAAACACACGTAACTGTCACATGTGCTTTCGTGGCTTGACCGGTGCATACGTGGATATCGCCGTTGGTGTGTTGTCGTCCGCGTGGTAGTCGGACACGGACAGGTGACGTGGAATATTTTTTTTTTTTTTGCAATTTAGGACATTATGTGTACTCCAAATATTATTTTTTCCCTCTGGTTCTGAAAAAACAATTTATTCTAAAGTCATCGGATAGATGACATAGAATTATTTTATTTTTTCTTAAAAAAATTATATATTTTTTTAAAATTTTAATATAGACCAATTGGACCAAATTGAAATAAAAAATACCTAGAACAAATTATTTTTTCGGCGTCAGAGGGCAAACATAATACTTGAAGTACACGTAATGTCCTAAATTGCGAAAGTGAAAAAACAAATTCCATATCACACGTCCGATGACCACGCGGATGATAGCACAACAACAACGACGTCCACGTATGCGCCGGCCATGCCACGAAGGCGCATGTGATGCTCACATGCATTTTTCCGGCACTATATGACAAAAATAATGCCCTGAGTACACATAATATCCTAAATTGCGAAAGTAAAAAAAAAAAAAAGATATTTAAAAATGATAATTAGACCTAGACATTTTTTTACAATTTTCCCTATTCTTTATTTGGAATTTATTAAAAATTGGTTTTAATTAATGATAAATGTCCGTTTTAGCTTAAGTTTTTAGCTGAGATGGTCATCTAACAATATATATTGAAGTTATGAATGTAGCAGCTAACATACCGATCATCATCTTGGCATGGACGTAGATCATTCCTCTCCGAGCTTCTTGAGCTCGACGGTAATTTGTATCCGGGTCAGGCTTCTCCGATGGCTCATATTCGCCGCTCTTCTTCACCTCTCTGTTACCTAGACAATAGAATGATAAATAATCCTTAGGGTTCGCGACGATGCCCTTCACTTTGAGGGTTTGAACTATGTCTTTGTACATCATCTCCATTGTCCTCTTTTGCCAATTCAATATAGCTTGGACCGAGGCCGTCTCCGGATAGCCCTCCGGCCACATCGGGATCACTATATAGACTCTAAACGGTTCTCCCGCTTCGATCTTGCTCACGATCTTCAAGGAAAGTTCTTTCGGAATAACATGCAGAGCACCGATGTCGGGGTCGTTGATGTCGCTTGAATTCCACGCAAATGAGCTTCCCAAGAAGTATTGATTTTCGATGTAGATAAATCTATTGGCGCGACGAATGGCATGGATGTACGCGTCTTGAATGCTCCGGTCGATGATGTTGTCCTTGCCACTAACTAGCCCGGATTTAGCTGCTTCCTCCGGTGCATCGGGGAAGCCAAATGCCGCTCCCCCGTCAATGGAACGAAAAACTTGAACATTCCACGTCTCGTGGTCCTCCGGGAACATGACGGAGGATGGAGGAACGATGATTCGATGAAGCTCGTGAAGCTCCAAGAGTAAATCCTTGCCTCCTTGTTTCCTCCACCGTTGCTCGAAGTTGTAGAGAACGTCCCAAGCCGCAGGCCCTTCTAACTTGCAATGGATGTCGTGCCATGGCTCCCTCGGCCCTCCTTTTCGTATTGTTGCGCCTTCGTAATTTGCTTGATGGAAATCGTCGTGGTGCGCGGTGGATAAGGTCCGGAAAAGGGAATGGAATTGTGTGTCGTACCTTCCATCGCAGAGATCAATGCCGCCAACAAAGCTCATGATCCGGCGGCGCTCCTTATTGCCGTTGGGCATTGCTGTGTCCACCACCACAATCTTTTGATGGTGCGTGAACATCGTGCTGATCTCGATGTTCTGGACAATGCTCCGGCCATCGTCGGGATTGCGAGGGCATAACACACAATGTACCTTGTAAAGAAGCATAATAAGATAGGTAAAATAAGATAGGTAAAAAAACGTAAACATGTTAGCAACATAACAACATATATGCACGGAAAAGTTACAAATTTCATAGTGTTTGTATACTCAATCATCACTTTTATCGTACAATTTGATAACTATTTTCGATTTATTCTAAATTTAAAAAATTCAAATAGGAGCTTACAAGACCAATATACGGGCTCTCTGAGGGCATCACCAACCCAGCGTCATTTTGGTGTCGTTCGATGCCAAATCCTGCACCATTTTTTGGCGTTGATACATTGCAACGCTAATTTTGGTGTTGCACTGTAGCAACGCCAAAAAATGGCATTGTCTTTCTATTTTTTAAATTTTTTATGTTTTTCTTTTTTATTTTAAGATTTATTTTTATTTTTTTACATTTTTAAAAAAATTATTGTAGATTATAAATATAAAAAATTGTTTAAAATAATATGAAAAATAGAATATTTGAAGAATATTAATGAAAAATAGAGTTATAGTTAAAGTAAAATTATTGTACCAACTATATATTTGAAGTTAAAATTGTATAAATGAAATGTATGAGTTAAAGATGGCCTTAAATGAGCATACCACGCTTTTAACTAAATAATCGCTTAATATGATATTAGAATTCTTTTTATAAGACAAAAAAGATAAAAATCCAACAATCAAATTTAACAATTACCTCAGTATTGCGGAAATAGTTCCCCGTCTCTTCATCATGAGTTGCCATCAACCCGTCTTGCTTAAGCAAATTAACTGAAGTTCGATCATCCCAAACCAACATCAGAACCCGAACTCCTTCGGAGGCCTTCTTCTTAAGCAACTCTCCCAACGTCATATCTCCGCCGGGCATCGGCCTCCTCGTGTCCCTAACCAACGTGATCTCCGTATACACCGACCAGCCGGCAACGTACACCAAATGCTTAGCATTCATAATTGCATCGAACACGTCCTCCCAGCACCGGTGCGGCTGATAGCGGTCGCCGCCGGAGAGTTGGATCGGCGGGACGAAGTTGTCGGGGACATGCGCGTCTTGGTACAACGTCACTTTGCAGCCCTTCCTTTGTGGGAAGAACGTGTAGGGAACGCCGGGGAAGTTAGGGCTCTTGAGGCCGCGAGCCCAGCAAGGGTGACGGGCGACGTCGAAGAAATGGAGCTTGACGTGGAGCTTGGGGTGGCCGTGGATGGGGTGGTCGCGGTCGTCGAGGATGTCGAGCCAGCGGTCGATCTCGTCGCCGCGGAGGAGGTCGGAGATGGGGATGTGGGCGCGGCCGATGAGGTCGGCGCCGATGGGGTTGTCGAGCTTGATTGTGAAGGAGACGCGGGAGGCCATGTGGGCGCAGTAGATGTGGAAGGACTCGTACCATCGGGGGTTCGACTGGGCGTCGAGCAGCCGGGTCCGGCCAACCCGCGCGCGCTCCAGGTCGATCGATGCGTATAGCTTTGATCCGTTGCCCAGCCCCAGAGCTCCCTCGATGCCAGCCACCACCTGCAGATCACAACTCCCATCACATTCTTTTAAAGGTGCGATCTTTTGGCGATTTCTTCGAATTTCACTGTTCATTGCAGTTTTTTTTTTTTCAAAAATATGAAACTAAATGCTTATTTTTTAATTTTTATATTATATTAAAAATTAATTTTATATTAAAAAGATCACGTCTAACATTTATTTATATCAGATAATATAATTATTCATATTCGAAATTTTTAATATTCAAATCTCAATCCAAACATCCAAACAAACACAACCTAAATTTATTAATACTATTTAAGAACATATAAATTCACATATAATTTATATACTGCGTCTCTGTACCACGTAATTTAATTTATTCTTTTTTCCTCGTATTTTAATTATATTTTATAATTTTTTAAATCTTAATTACACTAGTTATCATAATCTTAATTTATAATTATTTTTACAATATAATAATTATTTTTACTAGTACACTTTTTAATTATTTACTAATTATATTTTACATAAATTCTCGAATCTACAATAATAGGTAATAATAGGTATGTGTTGAGACAAAGAGAGTATTTACTTTTGTACAAAAAAATAAAAAATTCATAATATTTTAATATAAAAGTAAGATAAGTAAAAAATAAATTGAGTATATTATTAACAAACTGTTTTAAAAAATTATAAAAAAAATAGTGAGATAAATAAAAAAATATACTCCCTTCGTCCCTTAACATTCTATTTATTTTTCTATTTTGCTCTTCCTACAGTAAAGTATTCATTTTTTTTAGTAATTATATTATCTATCTAACATTACAAATATTCTTCCAATTTATAAAATATTACACAAATGTCCTATGGTTTGAAGTTGAGATTTTAATTTGAAATTGAGATTTTAATTTAAAATTTAATTTAAATAATATTTTAATATGATATTTTGTGAAAATAATCATGTATTTTTAGTGAAAATGGTACCGAAAAAATAATATGAATTATGATTTGAAATTACGAAAAAATAAATATAATTATAATTTTTTACTATATAATATCCGAATTGATAGTTTGTTTTATAGTGTGTTTTTATTTGAATATTATTTTAGATAGTATTTTGTATGATAGGTAAAAGAAAATTAATATTTTTTATTGAAAATAAGTATATTAAAACGTTGAATATGTTTCTTTTCAGCGTGAATTGGATTTAGAAGTTTGAACTTTTATTTTAAATATTAATTAATCTAATGTTTTGTAATATATATATATATATATTTATTTATCTAAGAAAAAAAAACATAAAATACAAAGAATAAAAAATTTGAATATAGCAAAATTATCCATAACTTTCTAATTAGAAAACTCAGCGTAATTTCTCATTTACTTTAAAAATTGCATGGTGTCCCTTTATATTTTAAAAAATATTGCATAAAATTGCTTTGTAATTTTGAAATTCCGCTTTAAAAATTAAATGACACTCCCTTATACTTTAAAAAATATTGCATGAAACATCCCGTCATGCAAAAAAAATATAAATAAAAAATCACCTTCTCATCATAAAAGAGAAGTTTCATGCAATATTTTTTAAAATATAAGGAGGTGTTATGCAATTTTTAAAATATATACGCATTTTATGCTAAATTTCGAAATTATAGGAAAGTTATTATCAATTTTACCTTACTATAAATAAAAAAGAAACACACACCTAAGTATGTGATTTCTCAACAAACTCTCCCAATGACTTTATGATATCATTGATATTCGGATTAGGTGAGCGCTATAAAGTTTTAGACTCTAAAATCCACAATTTCTTTTAATTATTACTTTATTTTAGATTTTTATCTTGTTTTCCATAAAATAATATTTTTTTTTTTCAAAAATAATATGGCTTATGAAAAATAAGTTTTGAATGTAAAATAAAATATAAGAAAAAGATATTGAATAATTAGAAAAAGTAAATAAAACATAATTAATTCTAAAGAAAAAATCCTAATATTTTGAATTTTGTAGTAAATGATTTATTATTTACTATTTTTTTTTTATGTTTTTAAAAGGTTCATTTAACAATTATTTTATATATAGACAAATAAAAAAGAAAAAATAAGACAAATTTATTGGGATGAAAAAAATATCTAACACCATATAGAATGCATAGTTTTTATAAAATAAGAACCTCTTTAGTGTAACGTGGCATTGCCACATCTATATATATATATAAATTAATTATATTATTTATAATTATAATTGTATTTTATTTATTATTTTCATTTTAATATTATTGTATGTATTATATTATATTTAATATTTATAATAAAATTTTATATACATATAAATAAAGATTTAGAATAATTTAAATATAACGTCAATTAATTTATACTAATTTTTTATTAAATACAAAGTAGTATAGTATATAGAAGATATACTTTTAAGTAATATATATAACATAAAATTTGTATTAAATAAAATAATAAATTTATTGATGTGAGAAAAAAAAAAAAAAAAAGAAATTTTAAGAACAGTTTCCCATTGTGAAAAAAGAACCAAATGAGTTCTTAAATTGACGTCATGATCCGGTAAAAGAGATAAAATATAAGAACGATTCCTATATTTATTGCATTGCATATGGTCTAATATTTATTCACTTGTAAGAAATTAATAATTCAATACAAAATGTGGATCAATATGCTCACTCAGCACTGGAATAATTTTCTATAAATATTATTAAAAAAATATAAATATATACACGCATTAATAAAATATATATCATACAATCCTAACAAGTCAACCATTAAATACAAAATATTATTTTTTAAATTATCAAAACAGTTTCTCCTACTACACAAAAAATCAATTCATCTAAATCGTTGAGTGAACATAGTATGTTTTATATTATCATCACAATTCTCCGTAATTAATATAAAAATACATTCATCCAAAAAAAAAAAAAAAACTGGTGGACAGAAAAAATATTACTCCCTTCGTTCCTTAATAATTTATTCATTTTTTTATTTTGGTCCGTCCCATAATAAAGTATCCAATTTTTTTTAGTAATTGTACTATCTACCTAACATTACAAATACCCTTCCAATTTACAATATATTACACAAATTTTATTATCTTTATATCATATAATACTAATAGGGGTAATTTAGTCTTTTTACCTTTATTTCTACTTTATCCCAATATAATACTAATATTTGTAAAACTCCGTGTAAAAAGCGAATAGATATATAGATATGAGATGGAGAGAGTATATCTTAGTTATCTCCGATTGTAATAATAATAATAATAATAATAGTAATAAGAAGTTATTATACTAAGACAAACCAAACCAAACCACATACATTTACGGAGTATAATAATAATAATAATAATAATAATTTTAATAATAATAATAATTATTATTATTATAAAATCAAGAAATGAATATAACCAAACAAACAACAAGTATTACAAGAAATCATTTGAAATTGAGGGGTTTGGTAACGAGTTGACGAAGAATCATGTTATTATTTAATTTATTGCCAATTGCTTACCAAATGTGTGTTTAATTTGTTTGTATTCCATTGGTTTTTACTATTTTGGATTTGAAGTTTATGTTGAAAAAAATTAAAATAATAATAAATTTTGCAACTAACCTTTTCAATAAAAAACGCAGTATAAGTTCGGTATTGTTTTTTTATTATTCTATTCTGTCTTTTTTTTTTTTTTTTTCTTGGTAATTGTACTATATATCTAACATTACAAATATCTTTTTAATTTACGATATACTCCCTCCGTCCCATATACCTACACTGCAGACACGGTATTTTAGGAGGAGTGTAATTAATAGATAATTAAGAATATATTAGTGAAAATAATTATCCTATAATATAAATAATTATAAATTAATATTAAGATAACTAATTAGTTTAATTAAAATTTTGAAAAAATAAAACTAAAAAATTTAAAATAAAATTAACATGTGTAATCATTTTCCAAAAAAGGAAAGTGACATGGCATGTGAAACGGACAGAAACGGCAATGTGGACATGGTATCTAGGACGGAAGGAGTATTATACAAATGTCATTACCTTTATATCATATAATAGGGTTAATTTAATTTTTTCACATTTATTTCTACTATATCTCAATATAATACTATTTCTAAAACTTCATGCAAAAAGTAAATGGATAGATAGATATGAGACGACGGGAGTATTATTATTTTTTATTTAGGATATCAAATTTTCTTCAAATATATTGGATCTGTTTTTTTAGCATTTTAAATTAATATCAATACTATTTCTTTTAGTATTTTTAATAAAAATATATTTTATCTGTGTGTACTTATTTGATTTGACTAGACACATGTTTTTTTTTAAAAGAAAAAAAGTAAAAGTAAAATTTTTTAATTTTTTTTTGATAAAAAAAATAAAAAAAATAATATTTTGTTACTAAAAAATAAATAAAAATAAATTTTGATGATAACAAAAATAAATAAATAAATAAATAAATTTGAACGACAGGGAGCACAACGAAAATTAAAGGTTTGTTATCAGTTTAAAATAAATATTTACAATTCAAAAGGTTTGTTAACAGTTTTAAATTTAATTTTAAATACAAAGGAAGAATTATCTTCTACCTAGTAAGTATGTAAAAAATAAAAGTAATAAAAAATATCAGGGACATTAAATTCTACAAAATAATATCTTCCGTTTATACCCCTACGGTGGTACAAAGAAAATCAGCGGTGGACGTTGAAATGAGTGGCGGAGATAAAAAGCCATGTCAATTAAATGTGTTTTTTTTTTAAAAAAAAAAAATAATAATAATAATTAGTATTTGTTTGGCTGTACTCGAGATAATTTTGATTTATACAATATTTTAATTTGATATTTTATAAAAATAAATATATTTTTATTAAAAAAATAAATTAAATGGTATTGATTTATGTTTGTTTAGTTTAAGATATTTTTTTAATATAATATATAAAAATTTATATCGGTAATATAAAAAATAATATATTTAGTTGAATATTAATTTTGTTTGTAATCAAAATAAAATATATATTATATATATTGAGAATTGTATTAATGAAAAAATTATTTGCATTTTATATAAAAAGTAACATATTTTACAATATCATAAATATAAAATTATATTGTAAAATAAATACTAATAATAATAATATATACTATAAACTATATTTAGATTTTTAAGAAAAAAACATTTAATATTAATAATAATAATAATTATTATTAAAAATCTATATTATAAATATTAAGAAATATCATAATTAAAAACACAGAACAAAAACACAACCTAAAAACCAATCAATTCATTCTTCCTCCACAAAAATGCAGCAATTAATTGTTTGAATTGAGTTTTATATTATTTAATTTTTTTTCAAAAATATTATATTATATTATATTAAAATTTAAAACGAATATATTTATATTATTCCAAATAATTATTTTAATTAAAAAATTTTATTATTAACAATCCAAAACCAAAACCACAACAAAAATACCTAAAAAAACACAAATCATATGTATTTCCTCTCTCTCTCTGCGCTCGCTAGCTGGATCAGAGATTTCAACGAACCGCACTAATTTGTGAATATTTAGTTAAATTAGTAATTATTGTAGAGAGATGGAAGAGAAAATGAATTGGAAAATGAGTAGAATGAATGATTATGAATAGAAGAATAGCTACCTGGTGAAGGAATTTGCCGAAACCTCCACTGTGAAGCTTGTCGATCTCGTAGATTGTGGCGTGAAGATCGCCATGGACTAACATCTGCGCCATCGTGCAGCTGATTCTGATCTCCTTCTCTCCTCTTAATCGATTCTGATTCTCCAACCTACCTAATGCTTTCGCTCTTGACTTGAAGCCTCAAGGCAGGGGAATTGAAAGATCAAGGATTATAAGGAAGTAACTGCCAAGAGAGAGAGAGAGAGAGACAGAGCGTGTGTGTGTGTGTGTGTGTTGTGAGTGAGTATGTGTGGTGTGTGAATGAACGAAGATACATAATAAATTGAGCACCTACCCGCATTACAAATAAATAAACTAGTCTAATTGGTGTGTATGTTTGGGGATTTGGATTTTGAATTGGAATTTGTATAATAAAAATTTTGAATTCGAATAATTATATGATATGATATAAATAGGTGTTGATGTGATATTTTGAATGTAAAATTGATTTTTAGTATAATATTAAAAATGAAAAATAGGTGTTTAATTTGATATTTTTTGGAAAAAAAAATGAAATGAATAGTATATTTAAAATCCAATCCTCCGAACAAAAGTGTGTTTCTTTAGGGGAGCTTTGCGAAAATTTGAGTTTGGATTTGATTTTTATTCGCATTATGAAGTGGATTTTTATTCGCATTATGAAGTGGGTTTGAATTTATGTGTTTTTTTTTTTTTTTTGTGTTTGAGTTTGGATTGAGTTTAGAGAGTTTTGATATGTATTGATTTGATGGTAATAAATATAATAATATTAATGTGTATTAATTTATATAATTTAATTATGAATTTATTATATATATTTATAAATTTTTATTTATTTGTATTATAAAAAATTTTATTCTCTACTGCATATATATTGTATATATTTTATTCAATTATAATTATTATAATTTTTTGAAAAACTAAAGAAAAAAGATAGAAAAAAAAAAAAAAACTTTGCATCGGTCAGACCGTGTCCCCCCAATCAAACGTCGAAGTTTGGGTAAAATTACTGTGCAAACTAGACAACTTGGGCTGGGGAAACATATCCTAACTAATCTCGTGTCTCTTTAAATTATACTCTCTTCGTCCCATGTATTATGGGTCTATTACTGTAGATACGAGAATTTAGGTAAAATGTGATTAATAAATAATTAAGAAGTGTATTAATAAAAATAATTATCCTATAATAAAAATAATTTTGAATTAAGATTAAGATAACTAAATAGTTTAATTAAGATTAAAAAAATTATAAAATTGAAAAGTTAAAAGAGATTAAAGTGTATAATTATATTTCCGAAAAAGGAATGGACAAATGATGTGAGACTGACAAAAATAGAAAATATAAACAAATTATGTGGGACAAAGGGAGTATTAGAGAGAAAGTTACGGTACTGATTTGGAGCACCAAAATCAGCATACATAAAATACAGAAACAATACATATTTTTATTACAAATAACACATATTGTATGTAATAAAAATATATATTGTTTATTCATAATTATAGAGTATGTTGTATAAGAGTATTTTATGTGCTAAAATTAAATATTATATATATTGTGTGATACTATATCATGTGTTGTTAAGACATGGTTTTTATTTTTATTATATTAATATATATTATATATTGTCTATGATAACATCGTGCGCCTTTATATTCTGCACGATAGTTGCCCGCCTTAAATGTGTACTAGGAAAAAAAAAAAATCTGCAATCATTTATTTTTTATTATTTATTTATAATAACATATTATTTTTATTTACTAAAAATATTATAATTCTTTTATTTAAAGTATTTCAAATGCAAATGAATTAAAATTATTTAAAATGAAATTTAAATTGACAATTTTTGTTATATTTGGATCAACATCAATTATTTTTAGTTTTACTTAAACTTATTTTGATTATTCCTATAATTTTTAGTATTAAATCTATTATTTATTAAAAATACTCTCAAATTTATGATTATTTATTTTGATATGATTATATCAAATTAAAATACAATAACAAAATAATACATCCTTGGCTAAATATATTCTTATTTTCTTTTTTTTCGTCTTTTAGCTAAATTTATTTTATTATTAATTTTGACAAAATCAAATATAAAATATTTAACTATTATTTTTTATTCAATATTTATTTACAACAAATTGTACTATTATTACACATCATTCGTATTCTTTTTTTTTTTCTTTTTTCATTCTCTTTAAAATTTCATAAATACTTCCAACCATATTTATACATATATATATATATATCACTTTTTAATAAAATATTTATTTTTCATAATCTCGTTTCGATCTCAAATGTGCTAAAATTACCCAATGCATGAAGAATTTACATACAAAAAATACTGCAGATTTTAATTAAAATATATACATTAAACTTCATACTAAAAATAAATCATTATTTTTCAAATAAACTAACATAAGTATTTATTTCTAAAATAACATCATATATATTTATTTATTTATTAAAAATATTATATGAATATAGATTGATATTACGTTAAATAATTATTTTAAATCAAAATCTTTCAATTATTAAAATATAAAAAATAGTGTGTTCACCAAATAATTTTTTACTGATTTAATTTTTAATTAATATTAAAATACACAGGTCCACACAATCTATATAATACTAGTATATATTCTATTTACTCACAAAAAATCAATAATTTAATACAAAATATTATTTTTAAATTATTTACACACTTTTTCATACATCATATAAAAAATACATTTATATAAAATATTAATAAGTACTTAGTAGTATTACATCTAATAATTATTTAAATTTAAAATTTATTAATATCAAAAACATACAAAATCCCAAAATACAACAAAAAAATATAATAATTTATTAAAATAGTGGGACCCACAAATTTTTTATTTTAAAATAATTCAATTAAAAATAATATTAATGATAATTGTTAAACTAATAATGATGATTAATATATAATACTCCCTCAATCTCAGCTAAATTGTCGCATTTAGCTTAGACACGAAGTTTTAAGTAGTATATAATTATGATTTAATAACAATAATTATAGATTAAAATTAATATGATTAAATATTTTAATTAAAAAAATTATAAATTATGAATTTTAAAATATGATTAAAGTGTATAATTATATTTCAAAAAAAATGACAAATTGCATGGGGTAAAAAAAATAAAAATAATATACAAATTAAGTAAGACGGAAGAAATATAAAATACTACTAATATGTAAGTGGTGGGGCCTACAAATAAAATTTTAAAAAAAAATAGAAAAAGAAGGAGAAAATTCCTCCTAAGACATCCTCAAATATATATATATATATTTTATGTTTGGTTCAAAAAGTATTTGCTACGTATTATGTGAAATAAAAGTATATGTTATATATGAGTATATTATATGTTAAGTTAACTATTATATATTGTGTGAACTTATATCATATACTGTTAAGTTATATATTGTATCTGTATTATTCGTACTTATATAATTAATTAATTAATTGTATATAAGTCTATTGGGCAAATGTGGCGTAGTGTTTGGTTTCTATATTAGGTCCACTTTAGTTGTGACAATGATGTGCTAATCATTTACTAATTTCAGTTATTTTATTTATTATAGACAATTTTAGGAATATGTTTAGAAGTAACAATTGTTTTTGAATGTGTGCTAATCATTGCATACTTCTGTTCAACATTATACACCTCATATGCATACTTCACATACAATTCATCATCGCATAATAGATATATACTTATAATACTTGTATTGAGACCTTTGACGAAATACACTTCCGAAAGTTGAAGAATATCTTCCGCTTGAAGAATACTATAGCTAACAATCTTTCCTTTTGCATCATCACACAAAAAAAAAAAAAAAACATCTTCGCATATATCACTGACGTAGTTCTTCAAAAGATGTTTTTGGTTCATCTCTACATCTCCGGATGAGAAGTCACCATAAAAATACCACCAATTTGAATTTGTAGATTCTTGGCTTGGCAAATGCTAATTGCACATCATTTGTTTCTTACGTTTCTTTAGCATTTAAAATAATTTGAGCTTGATATTATGACTGAGACTCATAGTAGGCCATCAAATATTTCTTCCATTCATAACATTTTTTGCACATCTAAAACATTTAGCATCTGAGTGTCCAAGATTGTCATAGCACTACAAAAAAATAATATATTTGTAACGGAATTCCGTCCCTAAAGTTCACGTAGCTAAAGTAATTCCGTTCCTAATTCCGTCTCTAATGTCATTAGTAACGGAAAAAATAGATTTAAAGACAAAAAAATTTTGTTACAAAAATAATTTTTTCTTGTAGTGTAGTATCCGTAATCATTTTATTGTTGTAACAATTTTATGGTATTCTAAACTCTCTGTGATTTCTTGGTTATTCTTTATTTATTGATAACTCCAAATAATAACATATTTTTTTATTTGATAAAATTGTATATTACTTGAATTTTTATATGAATACCATTACAATATCTGATTTATGGCATATTTTATTGTTTTGTTTCGCTTGGCATGATCTAGAGCATGTTTGATGAGATTATTAATATTTTTAGCTTTTTTAAGCGATATTTCCGGCACAGAAAAGCTAAGTATTGAAGTCAAACAAAAACGCTTCTGAAGAGGCACGCGATGCTCTTACCGCTTGTGCTAGCGCCAACGATCAGATATCCACTGATGACTAAGCGAGATTGGACCAACCCCAATAATTAACTAAGTGTTCATCTCTCAGCGATCAAGTCATTCCATTGCCAGCCAACGATGACAACACCGTTTAAGCTGCACCGATGCCCTCCAACCAAGCTAGGCAAGCGAGGAAGATATGTGCCCATTCATTCTGAGGCAAGTGAAGCGATCAGCCTGGGAGTTATAGCCGCTACAACTTCTCCAACAGATTAACTGCTATCAACCACCTAACTGCCTAACGATTTCAACTGCTTCTCAACTGTTGCTTAACTTCCGGTTCTGAAATATATAAATAGGGCCAAATTTTATTTGTAAAAAAGCACCACACTGAAGTGCTTATACTTTTTTTCTGCAGATTTCTTTGTACTTTCCGAGAACTTCAACCCTGTAAGGGAGTTCTCTAGTTAGGATTGGCCCAGGGAAGTCAAGATCCTTTCCTCATCTGGCCGCTCACTTTACAGCTTCTAGAACGTATTACAACTTTCGGTGTCCTCACTGCTCATATATTATCGCTCACCTACCATCAGCACTATCACTAATCAATCGTTCAACATAATCCATATATCTCTAAATCGCACAGTGCTT